ACTTGCGCGGGGTTTTAAAGCGTTTTTTTTTTTCATTTTCTTTTTTCTGTTTGTATTTTTTTTTACGCAATAGAAAATAACAATGCCCCCCCAAAAAATATGGGCGTGTAGGGTTTCTTGAGCCCTACACGCCCATATATATATATATATTTTTCTGACGTCAAAAAGTCGAAAAAGAAAATGTTGTACCGAACTCGGCAGGTCGGCCGTGGCCAAACCGGGCCGATTTGGCTGTCGGCCGAGGCCGCGGCCGGGCGTGCAACATAGTTCTCTCTCTCTCTCTCTCTCTCTCTCTCTCTCTCTCTCTCTCTCTCTCTCCCCCACTCACTCACAGACACACACCAACACATACACACAGACACACTCACAAACACACACAGACACACACACACATACACACACACACACACCAACCCCAGCGCGACCCCTTCTTTTCTTTATTTGTTTTCAATTTTTACATCTTATGTTTTTTTGAACACCCAATTTCCCGACACAAACCTGAAAAACATCTCTCAAAAAATACAGGGCAACTCAGCGACCATATCCCTCATGAAAAAAAAATGACAAAAAAAAATTCATGCTTTTCTATTATTTTTATTTTTTTAATTTGTTTAAATCGATTTTTTTTTTTTTTTTTTTTTTTTTGACGATCTTCAACAAGAGCGGGTTACAAAATAAAAAATACAGGCTTGTACGGATATGGCCTCATTGACCGTGGCCGAGGCCGACTTTTTCGGCCGAGGCGGTCGAATGTCCTGCGGCCTAGGCCGCGGGTTTCACGTAGCCCAGCGAGAAATGGCGTGAGTTCTGTACGATGGCGCTCCATAAGACGCCATACAACAACTTGTGGATTCTCGCGGATCCAAAGGGAGAGAGGGTCATCAAGAAGCAAAACACTGCCCTGCGTTTTTATTTCCCGCTGGCGATGGCCGGAGAGAATGTCTGGAAACTGGCCGTGGAATTGAAAAAAAAATGGGAGACAGGTAGATTGTTGGGGCACGACGGAGGAAAGTGGATCGTTAACAAGAAGAAGGTAAAAAACGTCAAGTCGGGGGTCGCCTACATCGACAACAACAAGTTGGGCAGAAAGGAGGTCGTTTACAACGTCCCCGTGGAGCCGCCGAGTAAGAAAGGCAAAAAGAAGAAAGAGGAGGGCGATTAGTTCGTGCAAGTGCCTGAGCCGGACACACATTGTTGGAAAGCAATGAAAGCACTCACCGACAATGAGAAGTATAGCGTTTTGAAGAAGGTGCTTGCTTGCAAGGTGGTTTGGGTCCAGGCCGGCTCCCCCTCGTTGGCGAAGCTGGGAAAGCTCAGAATGCAAGAAATTGTGCAGTTGGTGAAGTGCGACCTCGTGCTGGTGCTGTTGTGGAATTACTACTAATTCAAGCACGAGAAGAGCCCGGACGCGGATTGGATCCAAAAACGAAGTCTGTCGTCTTCAAAAAGTTCAAAAGTCGAGGATTGGATGACGATTTGTGGAACGGTAGCAGGAAATACGTTTCTGACGTGGCGTTATTCAAGGAGTGTCCGCCGTACATGGGTTGCAACGAGGACCACTCAATTGAGGCGACGAAAAAATTGGTCGGCCACAGGAAGTTATCCGTCGACTGGAGAAACAAGGTTCTCTCCGAGTTGACTGGGAGTAGACTGAACAGTCGGGAGATCGCATTTGCCGAAGATATTGTGCACATAAAATGGAAAGACACGGGGGACGTGACATCCATCGCACGGTTCGGCAACGACCCTTTGGAGGCGGATATCAGGAGCGCAGAGCTGAAGGAAGCGGTGACTGCCACAAAGAGCCACACGTTTGTCCTCGATCTGTGCGAACCAGTTGACCTGAAGCTGTGGAAACCGCAAGCATTCGAGACTTTGAATTCCTATCTTCAGACGTGGTGTCCGTCGGACCGTCGCATTGGACTCTTGTTGTTTTTGTGCCGCCAGAACATAACCTCTCATTTCTGGCCAGCATGCACCGTCTTTCTTTCGTAAAGTTGTTGGAAGGGGAGTGGATGAGGAGGAATCAGCAAAACAAAAACTTCCCCATGGGGAGCAATGTGTACATGGAAGACGACTGCATGTACATCCTCTTCAAGGGCGACGATCTGCACGTTAACACGTCCCTCGTCTACGAGGGAAGGTTTTCGAGGGGTACCGCTCCTGCCGTTCGGTTGCCTCAGTGGGTTACCCATACGGATGTGTCGGAGATTCCCTTCACGCCTTGTGACTGGTCGCAGACCGCGCATGAACGATAGGGCAGTGTCTACGGGGACATGGAACGCAATCCGACACAATTCATCGGTCTTCTTGATTTCGTTAGCAAGAGGGGAGAGGTTGTCAACTTCCTCGGGAAGCCGCACGCACGAAGCGTGTGGGAACTTCTGAAGGCAGGTCGGCACGTTGTCTCGATGGAAGGGAACTCCGACCTGTTGCAATTCGCGATGGAACTTGTCAAAGGCGAGGTCAATTCGGGGGCCCGCAATTACGAGTTCATGGTCGTGAAGGCGACACAGGATCGGGTGTGGAGCAACAAGACGGACATGTGRTTCAAGTTGAGTGAGAGGAAGAGGAACAAGATATATGACTTCTTGTTCGTGCAAATGAGGCCGAGGAAGGACACTGACGCCGACGTCTGCCGCAGGGACCACATGTTGGTGTTGCTCGATAACCACCACTTCGCCTCCCGCATGAACGCGAAGACCATCCTCGAAAGGCTGCAGTCCCTATACTTTGTCAAGTCCGAGGAGGAGATGAAG